TAGAAATGACATGAAAAACCGTCCAAAAAACTGCTAAAAACATATTTTTCTACGCACTGGATCGTCCCGTATGAAATTGAGTTAGTACGGACGAACTATGTAAAAAATTGTCCCGTACGAACTGTTTGTGCATTTGTACGAACCAATTTTGTCCTGGACAAAATAGGTTCGTCCCGTACGAATACATTTTGTCTGGTACGAATAGTTATATCAAAAGTTGGTTCCGAAAACTGCAGAACATTGCCAGAAACTGCCATAGTCGGTTCCCATCGTCCTGGACGAACATGACTTCATATGGACGAAATTTTTACAGAGAACAACGCGTCCTGGGACGAAAATGATTTCGTCTGGACGATCAAGACATAAGAAAAATTTTCTTGTTCAATTCCTGATCGTTCTATTGCTCTTACAAGGAGATAACTGATCTGATCTTCCTGTACGAACAATGTTCATCCCGTACGATCAGTAAAAAACTTTTTCAAGATCTCCATTAGTGTGTGTGAATTTATTCACTCAATTACAATCACTCCCTTTCAAGTTTATTTCAAAGAAAAGTACAAGCTTCAAATACACAAAGTATCTCATGCTGAATTTTATTTGAAGTCTTCGTAGTCTGGAGTTTGATTTTCCTGAAATGTTAATACACACAAGAGCAAATACAAATCTTCTAAAATTGTTAGGAGATAACTACACATTTGAACAATAATGTTTGGAATCATCAAAACTATACAAGTTGCAAAAATGTAAAACATGCAAATAGCAACTATTTTAACATAATATAATACTTACATTGCAACAAAAATTAATACAACCCTTGATGGCATTACTAAGATAATTAATAACACTTAACTATACTAAATAGAACTAATCATTAACATTACATTAAACATAATAACTTGACGGATCATTACAAACTTCAAGGCTAACTTCTTATCTCAAATCAATCACATCAAAATATCAAACTTTTTATATAAGTCTAAAAGCACAAACCTTGAGAATAGAGCTCAAACACATCTCGAACAATGTTCAAATCTCATATTACCATTTCAAATCCTATTTGAAAGAGAATTAAACTAGACTATGTACTTTTTTTTTAAATTCCTATATGTATAAAAATAATCAAGTTGAAGGCTAATATACTGATACAAGCATTCGATGAGGAAAGAAAATTAATGAAAACATTAGTTATCTGGTTACTAAAATTATTTATAATGACAATGGGTTTCATGATTTTAAAGGTCTTAAAAGATTGGAAGAGCTAGGTTTACTTTATATTCATAAAATCTAAACTTCAGTTGACTTGGATTTGGATGTTCTTTGTTTATTTCTTCTCTTGTGGGTGCCTCTCTTTTGCTATCCTGGGGTCTATTGTTTTGTCTCTCTCTCCTTTAGCTTGACTTAGGGTGCTGTTTCTTTTATGGTCGTCTATTTCTTAGCAGCTATGGTATCCTATTTGATTTTTCAGTGAATTCTACGTGTTGTCTTGGGTTGTTTTATTAGCTCCGTTACTGGTTCTACTTTGTCCAAATCGTCTATTCTGCTCCTGTCATCTATAGTTTAGTGTGGGCTCATATTTTTCTGCTTATGGATTTATCTTCTTTTCTGGTATGCTCATTGTTTTCATTTATTGTTGTCTCCTCTGTGCTCTTTGTTTGGTTTATCCTTTGCATTGCTGGATTTTCTTCCTTGAAGGTTGTACTCAATTATTTCATGTTGTTCTGTATCTTTGCAGGTCATTCTCTCACGGTACATGGTTTCTTAGTGGCATCCTGGTGGATCATGTGGTGTGCTCTGGATGCTTGATTTTTTGTGCAAGATGATCGAGCTAAACTCTTTTCTTTGGATCTCCTTTTTTGGGTCTGGCTCTAAGCCTCTTGGTTATTTTTATCTTTTGTGACTGGTGGGGATCCTTGGCTCTTAGAAATTTTGTTTTTGTTTTTTTCTTTTTATTGTAGCTCTGTCGAGCATAGCTTTCTTTCGATCCCCTTTAAGGACTTGTAATTTTGTTTAAATTAATGCTTAGGCTCCTTCGTGGGTTTTCTCAAAAAAAAAAAAGTATGTTGTATTCTAAAAAGGTTTAAATAAAATTCAATTTTAGAATTACAATTTAGGACATTATTCAATCCATCTTCAAACCTATATTAGTATTTAATGATTGAAACATAAATGATCAACCTTGGTCAAATAAAGATCATATACTAAATATAGTGTTTAAAGTTTTGTCAATTTTGAACATAAGATTCTCATTTCATATCCTTAATATAATAACATAAGACAAGCGGGACATATGACCCATTCAAATTTGCATAACAAAAAAAAAAAAAAAAAAAAAAAAAAAAAAAAAAAAAAAGAAACATGAACACCATCGATTAAAGGGGCTCTCGCAATGAAACTTTGCACTATAAATATCACATGAAATTAAAGAGAGATATCACTTGGAAGTCGTTGATTGCATCTAAAGGCCAAATGTTCGAGCAACGATTTTATTTGAACATTCACATTACTTATTCCTAGGTTTTTGCGAGCAAAATAAAATTTCAGTCCTACTTCATTTTTCAAGTAAAACTAACACAAATATAATTACCCAAATATCAATATTATGATACATATAAAATTAAATTTCATTAATTAAATAGATCAAAATTTAAATCTATTTAATTATTAAACTAAACTAGCATACATAAAAAAAAAAACTAGCATACATATATAATTTATGTATATAAACGAATACAATGTTGAAATAGTTCACACAGGCGGCACTGGATTAATCGCAAATGCTCCCCCAACATCTACATCACCTGCCCCATAGTCGGCCTCATAAATGGCTCTTCTTACACGCACCACAAAGCCACCATCACAAACCTCTGCAACCTCCCCATATCTTCCATGGCCTCCTCATCTCCCTCTACAAGAGCATCAATCTGCCCATCATCATAACAATCACTTACCCAAAAAATAAGCAGCACTTTCTCATCTATATCCTTCTCCACATTTCTCCTACAAAACAATATCTCCAAAACCATCACCCCAAAACAATAAACATCAACCTTGGCATTTATCCCCGAGTTCCTGAACCATTCTGGTGCATCATAAACTTTCGTTCCCCTTATCCATGTGTTTGTCCTCGTCTGGTCTTTTTTAAGAAGCTTTGCAAGCCCAAAGTCTTAAATCCTTGTGACAAAGTTGACATCGAGAAGGACATTCTGCGTCTTTATGCCACAGTGAATGATCTACGTGCTACATTCTTCATGTAAATAACAAAGTACCCTTGCGATCCCTAGGATGATGCCCACTCTCTATTCCCATGGTGGTCGAATTCCTCTGAAGAGAAAGCTAGCAAGGGAGCCTTTGCTCAACTACTCATAGACGAGAAGCTAGTTCATGTCTTAGTTGCAGTAGCCAAGGAGACGCACGAGGTTCTTATGATGAGTTTGGCAAATAGACTTTAACTCGTTAGCAAATTCCTTTTCAATCTCTAATTGAAAGTCGCGTAGCTTATTAACGGCTAGGTAGGGGGACCTGGTGAGCTTAAGACCGAAATATCCTCTATAAATAGTGCCACATGCCTCTTTCGAGCTCTTCGTTGAATCTTTTAGCAGCTTCTTCGAGCTCTTTGTATGTGAATGGTTAAGATTTGGCCCCAAGGTGCTGTCTTTAAGTTGAAGCCTTTGTTTCCTTTTGCTTGCACGAAGAAACATGTAGGTTAGATATAAAATGATGAAGTTCAGTAAAACCAAGCCGTCCAGAGCTAGAAAGCCAAGCAGGAGCCAGATTATGTTCTTGGTAACGTTGATGATTGGCAGGTTATCGTAGTTGCCTAGTTTCATGAAAGCAGTTCCATTGACGTTGCTCGCTTTCACCCTATTGGATAATGGAAGCTTCTTTTGTTAGAATAATTAAATATATTAATTATGCGAGACATCGCAATAAATATTTAAGAATATATATTTAATTATATAAACAATTATGTGGTCCATATATTTGAATTATTGCAATTTAATTATTTATGTTTAAATCCTATTGGTCAAGAAAAGATAATTTGATGATTCGTTTATGGACCGTTTAATCAAATAACTCCTATGAGTTATTGTAAAATAACTCATATGAACGGTTATTGTAAAATAACTCATAGGAGTTATTATAAAATAACTCCTATGAGTTATTATAAAATAACTCCTAAGAGTTATTTTATGAGTTGTTGTAAAATAACTCTCATGAGCGGTTATTATGACAAATCTGCAGGAAATAACTATTGGTCCTCTCTCTCTCTCATAAGGAGGAGTTATCTTTCTCCATAGAGGACTAACTCATGATAGAAGAAAGTGAAGGGAGAAGGGAGAGAAACCGTAGTTCGAAATTTGACGAATTCAAAATGAATCAAGGTATGTTTTTCTTTCGATTAAAGATTGTGAAAATTATCTTGTTTTAAGATCTTGAGGATTTAAGACTTATGTAAATTCAAGTCTTTTTTTATTTCGATTTCTTTTACATAAATTATTTTATGATTTTATTCAAAGAGTTAGAGAACTCTATGAAGTCTTACATGTGGTATCAGAGCATGGTTGAAAACTAGTGATTTTTCGTTTAAGTTTTTCTTTAATTTCTTCGATGATTCTTTCTAATGAAATCGAATTCATATTATTTGTTATCGATTTCAATTATTGAATTATATTTTTGTCACGATTAATTCATGACAAATTAATTATTTTTATATTTTGCTTTTGGAAATAATTTATATTATTTATTTCATTATGAATGGATTTGTCATATG